TTAATAAATATATATATTATCGAATTGAGTATCTCTTTGTATAATAGTATACAAAATCTTTTATAAATTTATATTCATATTGTTTTGTAAATATACATTAAAGTATTTTATTAATGCATTATTATGTGTTATATTAATTCAGTTAGGACTAGATTAATTAATCAAATGAAATATAATAAAATTTAATCTTTTCATATATATATACGAGTCTACAACGTCCTATTGTGCATTATTCTATTAATATATTGTTTTAAAATTTTAAAATAATTTATTTGATTATTGCGTTATCATATAAATGTAATAGTAATATTTCAATTAATGGAATGAAATATATTTTCTCAATTTAGTATCAATCTATATAGATTGTGATACTCAATCATAGGAAATTATAAAGGTAATAAATCATTAATGCACATGTTAAGCAATCATCTATATATTTTGCTTTTATAGATAAAATACCATTTATTCTAATTATGCCTATCTATTATAGTAAACAAATCTATACATATCAATATACATACATAATTATGTCTTTTTTCACACTTTTCGTGTATACTTATTTATTAAGGTATTTTTTAGAAATCGGTCAACATAAATGATCCAATATTTTTCTATATGTAGATTATTCGATTGTGTATATCTAATTTTCTTAAATCATATTCCATAATTTGAATAAGAATTTTCCTAATTTATATGATTTTCACTTTTTAAACCACATTATACCCATCTATATATAATCCATTCACTCTATTCATCATTTTACACATACATCGAATTTTGTTGGGTTTTTTTTTTCTTTTATATATTCACGTCAATGTTTTTTGTTTAGTTTTATCTTTTTTTTTTTTTGCTCGTCCTTCATTATTGTCATTATTTGGCTAATAATTTATATATTTTATGATTTTTGCATTCACTTTGTGTACTGTTTCCTATTTGTTTTTATGTTGTATCAATTCAATTTTATGTTGCGCTTATTCCTAATTAATGATAATATCATTTGCATTCTCTAATAAAAAAATTATCCTATTTTATCTTATATTTTAAAAGGGCAGCAACGGATGACTCATGGAAAAGATGGGAGATGTGATTCCGCGAAGGTAAAAGCATAAGTTATCAGTTCTTTATCATAAACTAAGTAGAGTGTTGCTATATTAACTCTTAACTCTCAATTAAACTGGATAGAAAAGATATGTGCTCATTATTTGTTTTACATACTTAAATTTGCTAATTATTTATGCTTTTTTGAATATATTTTGCAGAAAACTTTACATAGGAATCATTGTGATATTTTTTCTCATTACTGTTTGTGACAAATGCTAATAATATATACATAACTTCATTATGCTTCTACAAAGCATGATGATTATTTTTGTCTTCCCTTATTTTGTTTCATTTTGCTATTACGACTTTTAATTTGCATATGTATTACTTATGTTATATTTGCTAATTATATCTTCGTTGCTAATTGAACCAACAAACCACCAATGTAGAAGAAGAACTATTACTGAGATTATATTTCTTAATGTATTTATAAATTTATTTAAAATGAATATCTTGATACATATAATAAAATCTTGAGCATATTTGTTTTGAAATTAGATTATGAACACAAATTATAAAAATTTGAGTATATTTGTTAGAAGTAAGGTATGAAAGTTTACTAATTAGTAAGTGAGGTCTCTTCGACTCGAATGCATATAAAGTTGTAATAAATATTATTGTTTATGAAATCAATCAATTATTTTTATGACATGCTATTATTATTATTATTATTATTATTATTATTATTATTATTATTATTATTATTATTATTATTATTATTATTATTATTATTATTATTATTATATACTATTGGCTGTGTCGTAGAAAGTGGATATATATGGCCAAAAAAAAATCATTTTACTTTCTAATTTATTTTTGAAATGTTTGAACCTTGAAGTTTTATTAGGAAACTTATACATTTTACACTCAAATTCTTTTATTTTGAAATGATTGAAGTTTCCCATCATTAAATATAAGCTATACAAATCATGAATCGTTTTTATGTTTTTCGTCTTACAGAGAATATGCCAATTTTTTTCTGCATGATCATTTCATTTGTACGAAAAAAATAGTTTATTATATAAATTTGAATCTATGGGAATTTATTTTATGCTTTTATAGAATTTTGAAAAACATAAAAATTTTAGAGATTTTTTTTTAATTTATTTTAAATTTCATAAAATTATTCATACAATTTTCATAAAATTAGTATTAATTAATTTAATTAATAGAGATGATATTTATTTTATGCATAATTTTTGAATTATTTATTTTGTGCATATTTTATAGTAAATTGAGAAGAAAATATACAATGGCTCTTATTTGTCGGCCTTTGCATCTAACTTTGTAGTGTTGGAGTTGTTCTGTGATTGTCTACACCTAATTTGTTAGGATATTAGCAACTCAATCGGGGAATTAAATGGAGTATTAAATGGTAAAATTATCACTTTCAGAAAAGCAGAGGAATTGTTTTTTTATACTTCCATCGTATTGAGGTGCAAAAATGCACAAAAAAAAATGGAATCAAATTTTCATTAAAATTGCTCATGCAATTTCAACGTGAAAAAAAAAAACATATCAACATATTACAACCAAAAAAGGGATAATAATTTATTTGATACCTACTGGTTGGAATAATAAGTATCAATTAAGTGTTTGATCGTCCATTTTGATATCTCCCAAGCCATCGGAGTTGCTTTATTTAATCATCACATTTATTATTTTTTAATAAACCGGTTCAATATGCTGTATGAAAATTCAAAAATTTCGATTTCTTTAATAAAGAACAATAAATTTCTTAAAATTTGTATATACTTTTTGTTGTATATAATTTGTATATTATGTGACTAAAATCCGACTCCGTTAACTTATGAAAACATATGAAATAATGTCCTTTACATGTTTATAAATAACTTAACACTATATTTATTTAATTCCTTATATATTTATTAGATGAGATATTCGTTTTTTTTAAATATATATTAACTAACATCGAGTAGATGTCTTAATTTAAATAATAAGACCTTATATATTTTTGAAACTATATCCATATTTCAATTCTTCTATGTTTTTCTCTTTTTGATGAGGTGATATTTGTTTCTATTATATACTTGACAATAACATCGAGTACATGTCTACAAATTTTATAAACTTTAGGAATAAAATGTATTATTTTTTTTTTTGATTTTGAAAAAGGTGAAATTCCTAAAAGCATCTTCAACTATTATATAATGGGTAAATTACTCCCACACTCCTGATGTATGCTTAAATAACTTTAAGGTCCCTGTGGTATCGATAATTACAGTCACCCCCCCCTGAAACGTAGTTAGAAACTCTAATGGGATAATGCATTGGATACGTTATTATGATAGAGTTCTAATGGACTATAGGTTTCTGGAAGTGGCGGAGACAACAAAGAACTATGGGTGATTAAAGAAATGTTGGGGGAGCCATGCCACCCCATAACTCTATGTTTGTTTCCGCCACTAGCTAAAAGTAATAGTCCGTTAGAACCCTATCCGAATAATGTATCCAAATGCATTATCCATTAGAATTTCTAACTACGTTTCGGGGGGGGGGGGGGTTGAGTGTAATTATCGATACCATAAGAACTTTAAAGTTATTTAAGTATATCTCAGAAGTGTAGTTGTAATTTACCGTAATATAATTATAGGAATTCTTTTAACTTAAAAAATCATGCATTAATAGAAATGGATATTATTATTTTCTATGGGAAAGACACTATAATGGTGAATGAGGCGTTCTTGAATGATTTTAGATTAATTTATATTATAGTGATATTTATTTATGCGGTTATTTATAAAATTATTATTATGTATGATTTTATTTTCTCATTATTTCCATAATAATTTGAATTAATTTTATTTCATATTTCGGTTGTTTATTAAAATTCACAAAAAAATCTTTATATTATATTGTTCAAAAATTATTATTTAAAATTTAATCTGTAATCAATATTTTGGAAATAAAATAGACGGAAGTATTTTGAAGTCTCCATATTTTATATTTTAATAAATTAATAATTTGTTTATAACTGATTATGGAAATTACTTATACAACCAATATACTAACGATTATGAAAATTAGTATTAATATTAGTATTGGTATTAATATTAGAATTAACATTAACATAAGTATTAGTATTAGTATTAGTATTAGTATTGATATTGGTTTTTTGTATTGGTATTGGTATTGGTATTGACGTTGGTATTGGTGTTGGTTTTCGTATTAGTATTAGTATTAGTATTAGTATTAGTATTAGTATTAGTATTAGTATTAGTATTAGTATTATTATTAATATTGGTATTAATATTAATATTATTATTACTGTTAGTATTAGTATTAGTATTAGTATTAGTATTAGTATTAGTATTAGTATTAGTATTAATATTAGTATTAGTATTAGTATTAGTATTAGTATTACTATTACTATTGGTATTGATATTAGTATTGGTATTAGTATTGATATTGGTATTCGTATTGATATTTATATTCGTATTGGTATTCGTGTTAGTGTTAGTGTTATAGTTTTAGTATTAGTGTTAGTATATTTAGAATTAATGTTAGTATTAATATTAGCATATTAGTAATATTGTTACTAGCATTAGTATGTAATCTAATAGCAATATCACTTCATATCTTACAACTCTAAATTTAATTTTTTTTAAGGGTAAATTATGAAACCCCCGAACTTAGTCTAAATTATGAAAAAACCCTCACCTACCCGTAAATATCAAAATCCCCCAACGTTTGTTTCTATCTTAAACCGACCCTCTTATGGTGTTATTTTTCATGGAATTTTTTTGAATACTTGGAATATTTTCCAAAAAATGCTGATTTAATTCCTACAAAAGTGACATTTTTATACTACTTTTTAAAGGCTAATTTTACTCTCGGGATGCCTTTACATGGAATCTTTATTTTTCTTAAATAACACCTTCACAGTTTTATAGTATTACAATGACCTCTCTAAGAGTAATTTTTATCTTAAAAAAGTAACATAAAGAATTGCCACTTTAGTAGGAGTTAGATCAAAATTGTTCGGAAAATATTCCATGGAATAAAGAAAATTCAGAGAAAAATAATACCATAGGGGGGTCGGTGTAAGACGAAAACACATGTTAGGGGGATTTTGGTAACTACGGATATGTGGAGGTTTTTTTTTTTTTTTGTAGTTTAGCCTAAGTTCAGGGGATTTTTCGTAGTTTACCTTTCTTTTTAATTTCATTTTACCTGGATTCGATTTTACCACTAGCCCATGGAAGCGAAAATGTACGCAATTAATTGTAATTATTGTGTACGTGTTTGTTTATATAAATAAAATAAAAAATTTGTTTTCCGCTGCGTACATGTGCCCGGTCCCCAACAAAATTAATAGCACTAATAACAATATATATATATATATATATATATATATATATATATATATATATATATATAATTTTTCTATTTTAAAGTTGATCACCGTGCATCGCACGGGTGAATTACTAGTTGTTTATATTTTGCTATTTGTAACTTATAATTTATTTTACTCAATTTTTTTATTTTTAAATTTATATTATATTAAATATAATATAAATTATTCCAAAATTCTAAATATTGTATATATATATATGTATTATTTCAATTTTTTTTCTAAATTAACAACTACGTGAGTTTTTTTTTTCTTTTTGAGAATTCAAAATATGTTAATGAAATGTACATTTTGTCACTTGCAACTTTAATATGTTTACCACTTCTTTAATATTTTCACCAATTTTATGTCTAAATATTTCCTAAATTTGCTCAAAAATGGTAAAATAATCCCTATAAATTTAAAATTTTTAAAGATTTTTTATTATTTATTGTGTACAATATTAAAAAAAAAAAATCCGGGGGCGCTGCCCCCGAACCCCCGTAAACTATTAGCCAACCATAATACTTTTTACTATATTTAATTTCGAACACCCTTGGCAAAAATCCTGGATTCGCCACTGTAAAGACCTACTTCCAAATCCATTTCCCTTGACCGTCGGAAAGCTTACCTTCCGAAGTTATGACCGACGAAGGCATACTTGAAGATTGAAAGATGTTTAGAACAAGAGAGAGAGAGAGTTTGGAAGAGAGTATGTGTTATTATTGATTGTGATTGTATGAAAATGTGACCCTTATTAGGTCCTTGTACATTTGTTTATATAAAAAATCATATATATTTATTTCTTAATCTATGACCTTTTTATCTGTTCTTAATTTACATCAATCAATCAATCAATTAACTATCAATCTTGATTTATACACTTTCCTTATTTGTTTATGGAATATATATTCGAATCCTTTTCACATAGTGGCTGCCCTTGGCAAGCCGCCCTTTGAGAAAGTGTTCATATTAGGTCTGGAAAGGTGGAGAGGAGCGGCACCTACTTCCTTTCCTATCTCGCGGACTGATATTTTGTGAGCTATTGTGAACTAATGGTCTCTCAACCGTGCGAGCTCTCTACTCTTTCTGTGCTCTCTTTTTGGCGAACCGTCTTGCCTTATCTCGGTTCTCTTTGTTCGCTAAGATTTGGCCGATAAAGTATATGGGCCACCTCGGTTGTGGGCTTAACTTTTGTTTTTTGTTGGGCCTTGGCCCACTAGTTTTGAATATGGGGAGCTCGGCCCAAAAGTGCCGAATGGATCCCCATCAATAGTGTTATTTTTATTAGCAAAGTTTTCTATGACTGAAAAACTAAAACGCAATTAACAGACCCGTAGAAACTCGTCAATTATGGGGGGTACACGAGATCTGCACTTAGTCATCTAATTCATCAAGACTGGATTCTTACATTTGAGTTTCAATCACATGCAACACATGAATTCTTTTTAAGATTTGATTCGGTTATTTCTAAATCTTTTGGCATGGAAGAATTAGTAAAATCATAGTGGTGGCATAAGATCATCATATAACCATCATTTTCTTTTATCAATGATCTAGATGGCAAAGTGCAAATTTTATACTTGAGTTGACAAAGTACAGTAAAAAAGATACCAATGCTTTTATGTCAAATTGCATTTACCCCAAGAAAAAAAATTATCAAAAGAAAGGTTTTTAAGATGTAAACTGAAATCATAATCACAACCAGAAAATGGGTATTTACATTCTCTCTACGAAAATAAAGAGGCAGCATCTTCATCGTCTGCAAAAAGTTCATCCAACTGTTGATCTGTCCACTGTGGCAGAGAGCCTTTCAATATCTGAGGCTGCTTTTGTGTCCCGACTACTTCGTTCGTTCCTACAATTTCTTCGACGCTACCTTTTGTAACAGAGTTGGTCAAATTGTTGGTTCCTTCAATTTCTTCGACACTGTCTTTTTTCACGCACTCTTGGTTGTCACTACTAATTCCGGTTCTGATTATGCCTTCAGCTATTTTACCGAAAATATCTTGGCTTACATTTATACGCCCCATTTTAGCTGCACTTGCATTGACTCCAGATCCATTGTTGGATTGAACACTTCCGGTGAAAATATTCTGCCTCTGAGTGACACTCAAATTCTGCGAATTGATAATCTTACTCGTGCATTGCCTCTTTTCTATGTCTTTCGTTGTCATAGTTTGCGTTGTGGGCATCTTCTCCGTTGTTTTCGCCTTCCCATAAGTTTCTGGATATTATCAAATAAAGGCACGCAGATTTAGAAACGAGAAAAGGTTGAGCTCCGTTACGAATAATCTTAATTTGCACATAAATGTCCTGGAGAAAATGTTGTAAAACGTAATGTTATGGGGAAAAAGATTAATTCTTACGTACCAATACCAGGATCAGCATATTGGATGGGATACGCAGAGTTATTCAGTTTTGAAGTAGAGCCGCTGTTTTGGCAGAATACCTGTAGATATTACCCATGGAAACAATTAGACAGAGAGAAGTTGCAACAAGTTACAAAAGCTGTGTAATATTATACTACAGTTATCATGCTATACATCATCTGAATAAGAAGCTCAAGAAAATCTTCAACAATAGTTCAAGATTGAAATATGATGTCAACGATAGATCATATGGGCTCTTCGCAACCAAGCAAACTGATGTACGAAAAGGTTGTCATAAATAATGAATATATGAGTGAAAACTTCATGAGAAAATGCAAGCTTGCTTCAAGGGCTGCTAAAATTGATAGCTCTAAAACTATGATATCTCTCCTTGATTTATTAGTTATGAATGTAACTAAAGACACTGTAATTGTTTTCCACTGCTACCAATTTGTTGCTGTTCATTTTTCCAAAACATTTTCATGGAAAAAACTGCCTAAAAACAGCATAGAGCCCAACCTAGGTGGATATTATCATCAGACTCTATAAACACATTTAACATCTACAGAAATACCAATCATTAATGTAAAAGTCCAGGCGTGCACATACCCAAAATTAACTCAAGAAGGTAGTGCATGCAGTGCTCTCCATAACTCAATTTAAATAAAGACTCATGTAGAAAGAACAATGTATATTTATGCAAATTTTGATAATGGGAGTTAGTATCCAACAGTAACATAAATCAAATGGAAGCAGACAATTGAGAGGAACCAAACCCATCGATAAAATTGGAATTCGATTGCTAATGCCAAAACACCCTAATGGGTAACATAGATATGATCAATTTTCTTCCAAACAGTTGACTTTACTTAACTATGGCTATAATCTAGGTTTGTTAAGGCTTTAGTACATTTACAAGAGTTCTTTTAACTGAAATCTTTAGTCAATGAAGTGCAAAAACACTTCAAGCTATAAACATAAAAAGGTAAGTAACGGAAGGAGAATCCATCCACGGCTGTTGAGTTGCTACAAATGCAACCACATATAAATTTAATAAACTCTTCTACTTCATCAATCCATGAGATGCTACCCAAAGACTGAACCTACATTTCTAACTAATAGAAGAGAGCAACGCATTATATTTAATAGCTGACATAACTAGCAAAACAATGCCATTGCCTCAGAAAGTGTGCAATAATGATGTATCAATAGGAACTCCAATTTTAGCAAACTCTTGGATTTCTAAGATTAATTCATGTTCTTATACATGTTACTATTAATCAGCTCCAACATTCCATCGTTGAGTATCGAGAGTGATGATCCAACTAAAGAACTAAGAACAATCCAAATCATATTAAGTTCTTGTTCTCACTGTCATACATTTTAGTTTAATTGGTTGTTTTCAATTATTTTTTTAATGACAAAAAGGAGCTCATATTATATACGTGTGTGTATGTGTTTTAATAACAAATTTCTCTTCGTTACGACTCGTCGCATTGACCATTTAACAATAAAGAAACATTGGAACATAAATTGCACCTTCACCACGTTCCTCAATGTTATGTTGAGATAGTGTGCTGACCTTGCAGGGGCAAAAATAGCAACCTGAATTACAACCTTTTGTCAGTCATTGAAAATGTAAAACAACACACTAAACAAAGGCTCGATCTGCTGACAAGTAGTCCTACAGTGGCATTATTTAACACAATAAAAAAACAAGAAACTGGAGTTGGACTATACCTCCCGAAGTATTAGAGCTGCACCAACAGTTAAGTTCTTTCCAAACTCAGTCTGAGAGAGGACCTTGTGATGAACACTGGCACCAACTGTACCAGTGGGGTCCTAAATTCAAACAGTATCAAGTCAATAACATACATAAACTCCGAGGATTAATTACTATTACTACTGTTTCTATGCCTTCGTTTATACCTTCAGCAACACCATCAGACCCCCAAGACCATTGGGTGTGCATGACTTAACAACAGCCACAACCTAACACCAGAAAATCAAACATGTAATTGAACGAATGAAGAGCTCTCGTTTTATGCATACAAAAAGAAACTCATATAGATTTACGCAAACCACCATTCATATTTTTTCAACGAGTGAACAACCGGCCACCTCTAACCAACCAAGTGTTTTACACTACCGTCTCATTATCTACCAATACAAATCATTTTCTTTTAATTACCGAGTACAATTGTCAATTTATGCATCAAGAGTCACTTCCCTGCACTCAGATATTTTAATCACAAGTCTTTCATATCCCAATCCAGTGTTTGTACCTTCTAAAATATTATTTGCAGCTACCATTATTCCAATCTGAATCATTGCCATTTGCATCCCAGGTAAAATATCATCAATCAAATCCATATTCCAATTTATCTGTCACTATCATAGGTAAAACACAATCCACTGATATGTAACACACACAAACAGAAGGGGAATTCAAATACATCATTTACACGCCAACGACATGCATATCTAAATTCAAATATTTATCACGTAGAAACATGAGCTCAATCTAATAATACCTGAACAACCTTGCCCCCTTCGATGCATTTCTTGATAGAGCTGATAGGCGTACTCCGAACCAGACCATTATCATCACCTACAGAAGCAAAACATGGGTTACATTACCATCCATTTACGCCTAATAACGATAACGAACATAGGAAACGGACAACAGTCGACAAATATAAGATACGATCGATAACCCAAAGATTTCACACCATTAGGGCATAAATTATAACAAAGCACAAAAGAATTCAATAAATCAACAGAAATTGTGGGCGTGAGTTCACAGTACCGAGAAATTGAACTGCAGAGAGCCAGGGTTCGCAGGTAAAATCATCGTCGAATTCGGCAGTGTCTTCCATTGCCCTCCGTATATAGTCTTGGGTTGAAATCAATCCATCGCTATGATGCTTACCGCTAAAATCATCGCCGTTATGGTCTGGATAGTTGGAAATTTTATGAGTCTGACGGTCGAGTTCTTTGCGAAGCACCGCCGCTTGAACTGCTCCGGCGGGTCCAGGGATGGTGCGGAGGCGAGAGGTGGAAGGCGGTGGTTGCGTTTGTAGTTGTAATTCGGGGTGGTTTTTCGCCGGGGGTTGGGAGGAGGGTAATTGAGGAAGAGGGTGGTCTGCAGGAGCAGAAGCAGCGGCGGCGGCGGGGGCGGTGGTGGTGGATTGGGTGGCGGAACGGAGGCGTTTGCAGGGGCGGAGAAGAGATGGGATATCAGAATCGTCTAGATCCAAAGCTTCCCACGGGTCCACCTCCATTTTTTGAGTGTTTCATTTGGAGGGAGGGAAACTGTGTTGCAGAGTAAAGAGGGAAACAAAGGTAAAGGAAAATTGCCCTGCAAGTTATGCTAAATACACATTTTAGTCCTTTTAATTTTAATTAAGTGGAAATTAGCTAGAAGGCCCTAAAACATATTATCTATAGCAATAAAGACAACGGATTTTGCCTTTTGCTAAAAGTCTTGGCGTGCTTTCACGCTGCATCTGACGCTAGGCTGGATTTTGTCTAACGGAATCGCTTAGAAAAATACGCTGAAGGAAAAAACATTAAATCTCTTGTGCGTACATCACCACCAACATTACCATCACCATTATCATTACCAACAATAATTCATATATTTTCGGTTTGATTTCCATGATTATTAGATTACAACGGAGATGAATTAGTGTAACCAAAATTATATATGTGTGTGCGCGTGTGTTGCGTATGTCCATATGTAGGTGTTTGGTTATGTGTGCGCGCCTGCGTGGATGTATGGCAAAGCATTTCAGCAATGGCAGCGTTGAGGGTGGGAATGGAGCAGATTTAATAGAGTGTAACGAAGATGGACGGGATCTCACGAAGAACATCTAGGTTAGAGCGATGAAGAAGGCTGTGAAGAATAGAGGAGTTTTAGCAAATTGAATGTTGACTGTCCTGATTTGTAAGGAAATAGAGCTTACGGGTGTTTAGCAAATTGCCACTTTAATTAAGGGGTGTTTGCAAAATTTTTGTATAAGTAGAAGTTGGTGATTATGAGGTGGTATAAGTTATTAATTGTGAGTTAAGTTGGTATTAAGTTTTTTATTCTTAAAAGTTAGAGATAATTACAAATATATTGGAAGTCAACTATAGATAGAAAAAGTAGGTCCACCGTGCTTTTTAATTACATCTTAAAACAACTTCTTTTAAGAGAAGAAAAAACAGAAGCTCCTTTATCAACACCTAAAAACATATTATTGGCAAAAGAAAAGTTCAAAAGTTGTTTCTAAAAGTTCTTACAAACACCACCTAAGTTGGTATTAAGTGATTAGTTTTAAAAGTTGGGGCAATAAAAATATTGTAAAATCTTAGATAGAAAAAGTGGTCCATGAAGCGCTTTTTGTTGGGTATTTTACATACACACAAGTGTACGTTTCGAACAAGTAATATAGTGGACAAAAATTCAGATATCGATCTGACAAAGAATACTAAATTATCTAATCCTAAACGCTAAATTCTATCAACACAGTCGAAAGTTGATTAATTATTCGAAATTATCTAAACTAAATTAAAGCAAATTAAACAGGCAAAAACAAGAAATCAATTAAACACGAAGACTAATCAAAGAAAACAAGCCTAAGATTTTATTCTCGCTCCTATGTGATTATTAATTCCCCAACTCCTTCAATTATGCAAGTTATTAAATCGGATTACTTACCTGAGATGCTAAATTAATCATAACCCGCTTCCGCGTGTATTATGATTCTAATATTCTATAATAAATTAATGTATTCCTACGCAATTAAATTTAGAACATAGCATGAAACACAAATCTCAATAATAGCTACCTAGGAAATTAATTATATTCTTATGTTTATACAATGAAGCCTCTTCTACCCAAGTTCTAATTATTAACCCGATCTTATATTCTTATGTTAATACAACGAAGCCTCTTCTACCCAAGTTCTAATTATTAACCCGATCTTCCGATTCATGCGATAACAATAACATCAAAGCACACAAAGTGGCCAGTTTCATGCACTTAATAAAACAAGTAGAAGAATATCCGGTATTAAAACTTGCATAAAATCACAGAAAATGGTTCATAAACCCCACATATGATACAAAATAAAATTCTAGAAATAAGCGCTTAGCTACTCATGATTAAATTAAAAGCAGAATGAAAATAACTCATGGAAGATAACACTATGCTTGGAATCTTTGAATTCGTTGTCTTCGTTATTGCTCATTTGCTCTCAAAATCGCGTAAAAAGAGGACCCCCTCGTTTTGTGCTTGAGTTGGCCGATGATCAATATATAGAAGTTTTGGCAAAAAGAGGTAATCATAATCCTAATTATTATTAAATGTGAAGTTCTTACTAATAAGAGCCCCCGAGGGGTGGAAGAGTACGATAATAGATACCTAAGACGGTATCGAAAGTCTTAAAAATTTAACTATATAAGTGAAACCACATGGCTAGATTAAGAGCACACAAGATTTTATAAGGTGGAAAAGTTGGGGAAAAAGACAGTTTCCTTGTGTAATTAGAAGTTTCCTTGTCTAATTGTAACCTTAATTTAATTTCAATTTCATCAATTTGGGCAATAAAAATCCAATTTTGACTTTTGAACTTTTTTTCTGTCTGTTTTTTATGTCGCCGATTTCCGTCATTGACCTTTTTTTCGCCCGTGTAACACCCCACATTTTCATAAGCATATTATAGGGGTTTATTGAATAAATTATCAATATGTTCATTTCCATATTTACATTACCTCTCATGAATTAATTAGTAAATGCTATGCACCTTAATTGTTTTTATGAATTAAATGGGATTATTTTGGATAAATGATTAATATGCACTCATGGCAATGTTTGGAAGCGTTTTGGATCTTATTTTGATTTCATTTTGAGGAAATATGTTTTAGGGGAATAATTTGAGAATGAAAGTAATGTTTGTTTGTATTTTGGAAGGAGACAAAATACACTGTAGTAGTCAAATCATGTTTAAAGGTGTTAGAAAAAAGTATTTTTGAAGAAAAAAAATTGAAAGATGAAGTGATGTTTATTTGTTTTTTAGTGAAGACATTTTTTACTGTAGCAGTCACATCATGTCTGAAGGAGAAAGAAACTTTTGAAATTATTTTTAGAAAATGATTTGAAAAGTGTAATAAATCCCATTTTGTTTTGGGAAAACAATGAAAACAAAATATAAATGGTTCCAAACATTGTGTTAGTAATTTCAATGCATTCTAAGTGTTTAAGTGATTCTTATAAATTGTGATATTTATGAGTTATGTGTACTTGTTTGATTAAATAATTTAGTAACTTCGATTTCGTGATTAAGTGATTCATGTGATCCAGTGACTCTACTCTTACGAATTTTGGTGAATAATTAGAATTTGTTATGCAATTTAATTGAATTAGTTAACTCATGAATGTTCATAGTTTAATTAATGAATTTATGATTAGTAATTAGTTAATCCCATGTATCTTAAGTGTTTATATGACTTATAATAGATTTTATAATTTGGTTAATAGTCCCACCCAATTTCTCTTTTATTCTGTAATTAAATAATTATATGTGCTTAAGTGTGTGCATGAGCCGTGTAATTTCTTATGTATATGTGTGAATTATATGAATGTGCCATGTGTATGTGTATGGTGTGTTTAAATGACATATTATATGAATGTGTATATATATACTATGATATATTATATGTGATTGATTATATATGTGAGGATTTAATTATGTGTATATATGTATGTATGTTCTATGTGCATGTTTATTTTATGTACATGTATGAGACATACATGCCCATAACTCTCTCACTCTCGGTAAGTACATGGAGAATTTCCTCCCAAATTCTTCTTTCTATTATTTTAATATTCTATATAAATAAATAAATAAATAAATATATATATATATATATATATATATATATATATATATATATATATATATATATATATATATATATATATATATATATATATATATATATATATATATATATATATATATATATATATATATATATATATATATATATATATATATATATATATATATATATGTGTGTGTGTGTGTGTGTGTGTGTGTGTGTGTGTTTTGTGTGTGCATGTGCTTGTGTGTTGTGAAATTGCCGTGTGTGTGGGTTGTGTGTGTTGGATTTGTGGTGTGTTTACAAGTGTACTAGTTCCTCCAATTGCAATCTACACCCTATTGTCTTCTACATTACAAGTAAGTCCCTCTACTCCCCTATAAATTAGCCTTTCCACTTCACTAGTTTCAGCACAAAAACATCAGCCAAAAAATCACTCCTCTCCTCTCATTCTCGTCCAAATACAGCCCAAAAGGAAGAATTCATCTTCCACTTCAAAGCCTTCAAGATTCTTCATAAAAGTCCCTCATTTTCTCTTCTAAAATCCTCTCAAAATGCCTCTCTCTCCCTAAATTCGAGATTCCCCAAATACACTCAAAGACAACCATATAATCTCTCAAAACTCAGCTCCAAAATTCTCCAATAACACCCATGTCAAGCCAAATGATTTCCAAGCCAAAACTCCATGGATCCTTGGTTTCTTCTCTTCCTTAGCCTTTGATTTTCATGGGTAAGGACCTCTTGGTCTTTACTGAAACAATAACCTAATTAATATAAATTATATATGTTTTAATGAATTATATGATTGTGGTTTTAATTTTGGGCTCTATAAGATAAAGATCTTTCCGAACACTAAATGAATTTCAAATTCATAGTCTCTGTTTGCAGTGCATGTTTCATCAGTTATTTACTTTGCTAAAATTATGAAATTTTACGGTAGACTAGATAATTTTGTTAGCTTCGTTTTGATATCAATTATGCATAAATCGGATTTATATTGATTTAAGTTATGGATCATTTTCTGAAACTGCACAATTTCTGAGTTATTTACGAATTATGTGTTTAATACAACTTTATACTAATGTGACTTGCCTGATTTACTTAGATATTATTATAGATATTAAATGTCTTCTCCGCAAAATTTCACAGTGTTTGGTTAAATGTATGAATTACTTGGTATTTTTGAAGTTGATTGTTGTGTTCTGGAAAACTGACCGTGTCACTGCACTAAATTAATTATTTCTCTTAAATGGTTAAGTTTCTTGCTAAACTGTTTTAACAAGGTAGAATATACTTGTAGGTGAACATCTTGTGAAAAAATTTCAGGTGTTTTGGATGTATGTTCTAAGAAATATGAATTTTCAAAGTTAAATTACCGAAACTGTCAGATTTTCTAAAATGAACTATTTTGAACTAGAAAATATGTTTAGAAAGTATGGTTTCAAATTCTTAGTTAATAGAAGAATTAAAACTTATATTAAGATAATAAAATATAATAAGTTGAATTTAAATTAGAATTAAGTTGAGTTATGGTTAAGGAGTATTCATTTAAGTTATTATGAGCTACTATCTATATGTTTCCATTCATTTAGGTATGTTGGTTTGAAACTCATTGTGTGTGTGTGCCGTATGTGTGTAAGTATTGGAAGTGGTTGAGATTACTTATGGACTTATTGGTAAATTACACTCGTTAATGCTATATAGTATATACTATATGTCATACTTTATATATACGAATTTATATATTTATATATCCTAATCTGCGTGGTCATAGGATAATTCCCGATCCATGGCTTATATACGTATACTATGCTATATTATATCTCTATATCAACTTACGTGGTCCTCGAGTGAAAACTCTGATCCATGGTTTATGTAAATATAAAATATACCATTATAAATATATGTGTGGGTGTGTACAACTATATGTGTATGTGCGTGGATGAACAATAATCTTTACGTGATTTGTGTTTATTGTTCTACGCTTGATTGGATATCACAGCCGTGTGTGTGTACAACCGTGTATGTATTTGTGTCATATGTGTGATTTAATTAGTCTATGTGATAATATGTGGTTGATAATCTTTGTGTTATTTTATTGTGACATATTTGTGTGTGATTTGTGGTGTTTAAACGGTAATGGGATTAGGGCCTAAGTGTTCATGTCCGTGCATAACACGTGTTTTGAAAATTGAAAGATTAATGGAATACCGGATAATAAACAACTCGAATATAGAGGGCCAGTATCCAACTAGGATGAAATGTGTGGGTAGCTCCCATTAGTGAAAACGGGCTCGTAACAGGTTTATTATCTGACTACGTAAATTAATCTTTAGATCCGATAAAGTGAAAAATTGATTTTTAACACGCATTGCATTCACGTGCATTTTGGTCATTCTGCATATTAAAGTGACTTATGTGGAAATGATGTGCTTTTGTGACTGGTGTGTTGTCGTATATTACCTGATGTTTAGATGGTCACGTTGGGGTTCTGATAAGGATCCTGTTGCATTTCATTTATATGCGTGAAGTGCTGAATTGATACTAAAGGGACTTTATGTCCGCGAGCAATATAAGGATTTTATATCTGTATAATACGAAAGAGGACTGTGTGTCCAATATACCAAGATTGAGGTAAACAGTATTATATGTTTATATGTAGAGCTATATGTTCGTCTATGTGTTATGATAATATTCATGCTTCGTGGTTCTTTGTTTTGAAGAATAAAAGTAATGTATTCCTATGTGATGTTATGTGCTTCCACGTATGTGATTGAATGTCTTGATCTAAATGAATAAATTGAATATAGAGGACATAGTAGAAGATTTAGGCTTATCCCTACACGAAATAACATAGAGACGAGGACTTTAGGGTTCTTATAGGACGTGAGTGACACGTTGAGAGAGGCATGAGTATCGTCAGGCCAAATTTCTTACTGAGTCAGTGTTTGGGCTCATGCTTTATGCGAATTTCCCGCTTTCAGGTTCTCGAAGTAATCAGAGTGCGCAGCGGAGCGGAGTTCGAGGAATCACGAACCTTGATGCCTTGCATGTCTTACCCGGATTTCGTAAAAGATCATGTTTTCACTTTTGCGTGTAAAAAAGTCTTATGTAAAAATGGAGATTTTTATTTTACTCTGATTTAGAAATCTAGTCTATTAAACGGGGGTATTTAAATAAAGTGTATTTTCCTTCCGCTGTCTTACAAGTGTTTTCTAAACCCCGATGATGTTTAGGTAGCACTCTTTATGAAAATCGTAACTTTGATTTGTGAGTTATATTTAAAGTAAAAGGAAATACTTTTATAAATTCTAAAGTGGTTTTCTCAAAGTTCAAATTGAATCCGAATTTTTAATAAAGTCCACTAAAATATTTCTTCTTTAACTAAAATTCATGGATGGTGTTACAGCCCGCCCCTGAACGTTGACAGTAATTGTACTGTCAACTGACAGTAATTGTACAGTTGTTAACAGTACAATTATTGTAAACACAATAATATTATTGTCAACCAAATCAATGTTATTATTTAATTTTTTGGTTTTTCATTTTGTTTGATTTGTTAACCAGTCAACGTAATAATAATATTACTCTCGTTGACAGTAAAATTACTGTAAACACAATAATATTATTGTCAACCACATCAATATTATTATTTTTGGTCCGTCTTATTCAAGATTTATGGTCCGTCTTATTCAAGATTATGTCAACGTGATGGCGGATAGCAACTGTGGGTACCGGTGCATTGCTTAAGCCGGGTACGGGGATCAAGAAAGATGACCTCAAGTGAGAGGGAAGTTGCTTATTGAGTTATACGAGCATGCTGATGTGTATACGTTGAGGTGATACGCAAGTGCGACTGACCCTCATGTCCTTGCCCACAAGCATATTCGATGTACATGAATGAAATGGAATTGATCATTGCTACCAAATACAATATATTGATGGTACTTTTGTCCCAAGTGGGGAGTATGACTTACCTTCCTATGTTTGGCAGTGACCACTCATCATGTATGATTGTTGTGACATTGCACAATAATCATTTCATGCTTGTTAATTTGGTCGCCAATAGTCCTCTACCACTTATCCATTGGGCATGGGTACATCATAGAGTTAAAAACTTGAGGCACTTACTCAAAATGTTTAAACCCCGACTACTCGTGTATGAACAAATAAAGTCTGATCGATAGTTTACAAAATGTTCTTTTATTGCAATTTGTATATGTATTTGAGTTTTAGTTCAATTTGTATTAGTACTTGAGTTTAAGAATATTTATGTGAATTTATTTTCATTTAACTCTCTTTTATTTATTTGACTGTTAACAAATAATTTAGTTAAAGAAAAAAAATTTAGTGGTTTCGTGAAGTATTATACGGAACTTAAGGTTTTATTTCGTATAGAATCTTACAATATCATTTCGTGTACTACTGCATGAAACGAAACAAATCACGAAAGCCCCCAATTTCTTCCTCCGTGCTCTATACTCGTAAGCACATATATTTCGTATATTTGTAAACGAATGTTAGTCACTACATTTCGTGCATAATAACACGAAATTGCGTGCGAGTTGTGATTGTTTTGTTGGAAAGTCACAAGTTAAATAAATCGTACTGCAAGTCAATAAAAAACATTTTATGAATATCATTTCAGTTTTTAAATAGATCATTATATTCAATTCAATACGTGGTGATGTATAAACATCATTGTACAAAAAAAAAAAAAAAAAAAAAAAACATGGACATCGTCTATGATAAAGAGAACCCGTGTTTTTCGCTTGAATCCAAGAACGTAGTACTACTATTTATTGTTCCTATTTGGTCGTTAACCAAAACGCTTATCATACCATTAAGACAACTGGTTTACTTTTGAAAAAAAAAAAAAAAAAAAAAAGAAAACAAAAAAGAAAGAAATTATTGAATTTTCAGGTTTCTGGATGCTCTCTCTCCTCCCATTACAAGAAAAAAAATATATATATTTTATCATAACTCATATATGACAGTTTATTATCTCTCCTTTTTTTTCTTACACATTTCTTCCAAGAACATGCATGCATTAATGCCACGATGAATCATATATTTATATATATATTCTTGATGCAGAATGATTATTATCTCTCACCACGGTCTTGTTAGCAAAATTAAACAATTAATCTAATTATGAATCAGAAATCCAATTTTATTAGATCCCTATTTATAATCTGATAGTATAAACATTTTCTTTCTTTCTTTTTTTTTTTTTTAATTTTTTTGTTTTTTGGTTTTGTTTCTCATGTTCAATTTGTGTTGCAGAGAACATCAAGAAAGTTTTGACTTTTGGAGAAGAATACCGAAGATCATAAAGGGTGACCATTTGGAAGAATTAATTAGCAAAGCCTAAGAAAATAAAATAATAATTAAATGGGATCTCCAACAATAAATGGTCATCATGATCACTCGGAAAGTCCGACGCAATCCCTGATGGATAGTCTTTTGGGACTTCTCAGAATTCGAGTGAAGAGAGGTATTAATCTTGCTGTTCGTGACGTTCGAAGCAGCGATCCTTACGTTGTTGTCCGAATGGGAAAACAGGTATAATCTTTTTTTTCATATTCGTATGTTTTAGCTTTACGAAGATTCGCACCGATCATATTTTACGATGATGCAGAGAATGAAGACTCGTGTTATCAGAAAGGACATAAATCCGGAATGGAACGAGGACTTGACACTTTCTGTTTCTGATCCTAAACATCCTGTTTCTCTGGTAATTAATAATTAGAGCCTCATTATTGATTTATTAATGAAATTAAGTGTGATATATATATGAGGTTTCCCTATGTATCTTTTACCACATTTTGCTACGGTTACAGTTCGGCTAGCTAAGAGATGACTTGAAGAAGAAATTACGAGAATTTTGAATTATCAGTACTTATTTGTGTTCAATATTATCACGATCAACGTCATATCACATGCTGTACTTTGCTTATTTTGAATATTTTTCCCTAAGTAAATTCATATTATAAATTGTCGAACGAGTGGCTCTATATGTGTGATCTATAGCTTTACTTCGACTCGCATTTGAAAATTTGTTACTCTTTGTATAATGCACCTTCTTTTTTATCCGTATTTAATGCATGGAGATCAATAGACATAAGGAGACAAAAAAGATTCTAGGGCCACGTTTGGTTGTCAATGTATGATTAAGATTACACAATATTATCCGAGCTCAACCGTGTAATTGAACTAGAGAAGGTGCACTTGCCCAAAACGTTATTGAACTAACCAACCATTAAACCAGGCCCAATTATTTAATTAATTATGACTAATTTAACCAACAACACGAATGAAGCCTAGACATATATAGATGAAGGCCGTGTCACATTAGAGAAGGGGGGATATATGATAGAGTACTTGTATTATTTTTTTAAATTATAAAAATATTAGATGCATATTTCTAATTAAGTTGATTCTCTATGTATACACGATTTTCAGACAGTGTACGACCACGACACGTTCAGCATGGATGACAAGATGGGAGATGCGGAGTTTGATATTAGACCGTTCATAGAAGGTATGAAGATGCATCCAAACGGACTTCCAAACGGTACAATTATTACAAGAATATATCCATCGAGGTCCAATTGTTTGTCCGAGGAAAGTTCCGTCGTTTGGAGAGACGGGAGAGTAATGCAGGACATGTGCCTCAGATTGAAAAATGTCGAATGTGGAGAAATCGAACTTCAACTCCAGTGGATTGATCTTCCTGGTTGCAAAGGTTTATAGACTATTTGACCATGATTATAATTTCTAGTATATCTTTTATGATATGGATTTTATCTTTATATGCCAATGATGTTCGATTTTTGTTTACATTGCTCTTTTTTTGGTGACGGAGTCGGAGAGTTCGTCTGCAGGCTGAAGTTCGTTAGTTGAAAGTATCTCATGTTATATAATTGTATGAGGTTTTGTAGTTTAATTTACATATGAGAATGACAACTTCATGTTATTTGTTATCGCTTGTGAAAAAATGTATACACATTATATGCAATAGAATTTGTTTAATAGTAAAAGTGTAATAGAGAATGTTGTTTCAATCTCTCTAGTCAATATCGCGGTATACAACGATATGATTTCTATGGAAACAATATAACTAGACATATGTATCGATTGTAATCAGATATCGTTAAACATCACTCGATACCGCGATAAGATAAGATATCCGATACGATAAAATAATTTCGATATTTGTTTTGAGGGTTTTTGTGTATTTTCAACACATTTAGGGGTAATTAGTTAGTACCACGTGCAATGCACGTGATTCTTAATATTTTAGTCAATAATTTACACTATTTAAAATTTAATTGATTAAAATTGCACATTACTAATTACTTTATAAATAATTAAAGTTATATATAATTAATTTTATATAAAATAACTTGCTAGTTATTGTGTAATATGAATGATCAAATAAAACATTGGATAAAATTCAGTAAAATTTTAAATGTTTACCCACTAATATAATCTTTGTATGGGTTCTTGTCCACGTTAATAGTTAGAAGGATCTTGTTTCTCTTAAACTCTTATATGTACAATAAAAAATTTCAAGACATGAATAAATTATTAAGTTTGTATTAAATTATCCTTAATTAACTTTAAAATATATTATTTTGTATATTATGTATAAAGTTCTACCAAAATGTACATTAATATACCATGTTTAATATATATTTCCAATAAAAAAAATTATTATAACATAAAAGAATAGATAAATGGATGATATTAAGTTTAGTAAATTAATTGGGTGATCCTTGTTAATTATTTTAATATTTAATACATTAAAGATTCAGCAGTTAATTAACTTTGCTCATAAAGGCGAAATTCCTCGCCCCATGGTCCTCATCCCTTGGTCCGACAAGTATTTGCTGTTAATTAACTTGATTTGATGATACGCTAGTATGAGTAGGGATGGAATTCAGAATGGAATTCCCGAAGTCCGCTAACTCCGATCCGAAAATATCCGAATTTGGAATTGTATTTTTCATTCTGATTTCCAAAGTTCCGATTTCTAATTATTCTGAATTTATTTGGAACGAAATTGGAATGGTATATAAAATTACCAGAAATCCGAATTCCGATCCGTTTTTAGTTCCGACTATTTCAATGATTTTTTGAAATATATAATATAATTTTATGATATATTTTGTAATTCCATAATATAAATTATGTTATATTTTATATGAAAATTATAAATAATTTCAGAAATTGGAATGAAAAAAGTTGTTCCAAAATCAGAACTTTTTGTATCGGAACCGATGAAAATTGGATTATTTGTTCCAACTTGCACCCCTAGTGGTGCATTGTTTTTTCTGCATGTGGTTTTATTTATTGCAATTTGTTAAATTCTTTTTTGGTGTTTGTGCATTTTGCTATAAAATTCCGAAAAAGAGTGAAAACATTGTGCAAATTCCCATTATGTGAATTTGGATCAAGAGATTATAAATTAATGCAATTTCATAAAAAAAAAATTAAATTCCGCCGATTCCAAGGCATTTCGAAATCAAAATGTATTTTTGAATTCCGATTTTTTGGAACGGAAATTGGAACCCATTTTTAACTTTCGAAAAGAAATGAAAATTATCCGACAATGCCATTTTCGATCTGTTCCGTTCGATTTTCACTCTTAAATGTGGTTCACAATTCACATTTCAAGAATTTGGATAACATATTAATCACTATATTGATGTTCCATGTAATTTTACTTTGATACTTTCCATATGCGCCAATTATCTAGATTTTTTTTTTGAATTTGTTTAAATTAATTCACAACAAATGTTCAAGATAATTTCAAATTATGGGACTTGTTTTTTTGGAAGGTTCTTGACCAACTAAAAAATTATTTACGGTAATGAAATTGATATTTTAAAAATTATTCATCAACATTAAAATGGGTTTATGTACATTAAAAATTTACGATTTATCTGCTTGTTGAGTACCCTAACTAGGGGTGGGCATTCGGGTCGAGTCCTGTTATTCGAGTTTTGGGCAAAAAAACTATTATCGAACCTGACCCAAAATAACCGGGTACCTGGTTATTTCAGGTCGGGTTAGGGTTTGCTGTTTTTTGTCTTTTTATTAATCACAAAAATATAAAAAGAGACTACGTTGTACTTAGCCTATCACGTATCTAGTGCAGCGTGGAACGTGGATTGAATATATGAGGCGAAACCTAAGAGAAGGAAGATTATTATGCCGCCACCAGGGTCGTACCCACGCGCTCCCACGTGCCGCCACAAGCCGGTGATGCGAGAAGGCAATTCTGAAAAACTGCTATCGGATTTTATGCGCAGTCTGACGAGAAAATTCTCCGTAAATTAACCAGTGATCGGATGGACGTGAAATTTTGACAGAAGCTTAAAAAGGAATCGTCCATCTAGTCTATAATAATGGAGATATTGAAGTTGGAGCAGGCCTATAATTTCAGATCAGAAAAGAGGTTAGATAAGTTGGAGGGGGTGAGCAACTAGCCATCTTCTCGTGTCTTCGTTCGATTCACGCTTCAAGGGTAAAGTATTGTTTTCCCAAATTAATATATATATATATATATATATATATATATATATATATATATATATTAATATTAATTGAGATTAATCTATGTTAATTGATTATTGAATCACATGAATCTATATGTTCGATTATGTGTTTATGTGAATCGTTCGTTCAGCATGTTAATTATTTGATTTAATTTCGCGAGCATGTTATGATGATTTAATTTATGTCATTTAAATTAATTATATATGCGAGCATGTTTGTCGGTGATTGGAAGCGAATATGTCTGCAATTAATTGTAATTATTGTGCACGTATTTGTCTATATAAAAAAAATAAAAAAAATTGTTTTCCGCTGCGTACGTGCCTGATCCCCAACAGTGGTATCAGAGCTACGGTTGCGCAAATAATTGCCTACGTGTTTATTGCTTTCGATTGCATGTGAATAGTTTATTGAATTGATTGAATTGGTAAAATTGGAATTGAGTTGGTTTAATTTTAATTTGATTTTAAAATTGGATTTGATCGATTTAAAATTGGAATTAGAAAATTGGATTTGATCGATTTTGAAATTGGAATTAGAAAATTGGATTTTGATTTGAAAATTGAATTTTGATCGATTTTATAATTGGAATTGTAAATTGGATTTCAAAATTAAAATTGGAATTGAGTTTTAAATTCCAAAATGATTTTCTAAAAACTACCCGGGCCGGACAACTCGGTCATGCCGGTCCAACCGGTCCGACCGGGTCTAACCGGTTCAGACAGCCGAAACAAAAAATGTTTTAATTGTTTCTTTTTCCAGAAATTAAAATTAAATCAAAATTAATTTTTAATTTTCTGAAATTATTTATCAATTAACGCCCAATTCAAATATGTGATTCATTAATCAATAATGTTCAATAAATGAGTGTTTGATTAATTAATTAATTTAAACGTTAAATTAATTTCATTGATATAACACATGTATAATAGTGATTATACTTCAACTTAATTAATTGTACATTCATCTTATTTGACTGATTTATGTTCATTAAGGTCCTTTAATTATTTTGAAACAAATCCTCATAATTATTTATTGTAATTAATCATAATTTAGATCGAATGTTCCTCTTTGGTCAATATGCGTTTCCATATACCTTTAGAGAACATAGTTGTAGGAATCCAATAGACCTGATGAGATAACAACAAAACAATAATAAATCCGTCATTCTTAATTTATTAAGAATTATTTAAAGCTATAAAGAAAAACCAATCTGTTGAATTTTTCTTTCCTTCTACCAACGGTTAAATTATGTGTAGCCCCTTGCAATAGTGCGGTAAGCCGTGTTAGCGGGGAGTACTATAGTAGGGTAAGCTGTAATTTAATTGACATAATGATGAAGGTACCCATAGAAAGGGTTATGCTAGATTAATGTGGTCAGCTAGATTAACCAGGGGCTGCATTAGTTTGGTATAATCAGTTCTATGAGCATCTTTGATTGGTAGGTTAGACTTGACACACGAAGATTTTGAATTCGCGAGATTAACTTAGGTCATTATCAAGTGTGAGTAAAATATATCTTTAGGGTCATATAGCGATATGATTGATGGAGATCTACCTTTGGACAAATGTAATCGGGCTAGATTAACTACGGGTTACATTTGCCTATTGAACCTAAAGCCCATTAAAAGAAAAATAAGTTTTCTCGGTTGTCTGCTAGAGGGTAGTGGAATTCGATAAAATTTAGTTGGAGTACAATTAAATGATAAAAGTCCAAATCTTTAATTTTAATCATTTATAATGAATTATCTTTTATGTAAGTCTACTCAAAGCTTTTCAGTATAAATGTTAAGAATCCCTTATCGTCAATTCTCGACACCAATAAAACTCAATGGTAACAATTACCTTGATTGGCTCAATAAACATTCGTTTGGTGCTTTTGATCCAAGAGCAATTGTGCATACTCAAATATAACCCAACCAAACTTCATGATAACTCGACTCACTAGGAGACCACCAATTATTAGAAGTGGAAGAAGGGTGTCCATTATGACAAAATACTATATGATAGCATCTAGTCACACGAGTTAGCAAAGAACTATGAGAATCATCTTTATGTTGTTGACACAAAGTCTCAGTTCGAGATCGTGTGTGGTGAGAGCATTATGACAATGAGGTTTGTGACAACTAAAGAGTTGATGTTCTTAGGCTATGCGAAAGGACTCCATCCATGAGCATGGTTTAAGATCACTCGCTCCCAAAGAAGTTGCGTGACCACAATGTCGTTCTCCCACCAGAGTTCTCGGTGAATCTCATGCTTCTATCACTAACTACCTCTTATAAAACGTTCACAATTAATTTCAATAGGAATATGGTTGAATCTCTTTCTGAAAGAGTTGGTCAACATGTTGAAATACAAGTGAATTATAAAGGAAGAAACGCTTGTTTTGGCGTTGGCACCTTCTATATCTTTCTCTAAGAATAGATCAAAGTGGAAGAAGAGGTTAAAAGGAAAATAGTTTCTAGTCGAGCAAACAATAGACTAGGGGGTGATTCGAATATTCGCAAGGATAAGAAAAATAAGCATATAAGTGATGCTTGCTTCCAATGTGGAAAGACAGACCATTGGGCTCTGTAAACTGCACGAAGTGTCTTCATCGGAAATATTCTTAGAAAGATGTGTTTTTCGTTTTACCTTAACTCAATATAGAAGATAACCCAACACAACTTTGGCACGTTAGATTAGGACATATCTCTTTAAGACGAATGAATGAGTTTGCATGTGAGGGATTGTTCATGTTGGATGATGTGAACTCACTGCGGGCTTGTGAATCTTGTTTGAAAAGAAAAA